ATATATAAAGGATATAAGGATCAATTTTGATTTTTTGAGTATATTTTGACAATTTTTATGCTTCTATATCGTATTTTTAATCATTCGAAATTTTTATTTATTATAGGTGGAAAGAAGATCTACTGCGCATCATTTTCGCGCATGCAGTATTTTCGCGCCAGTCTTACGCGTCTGTTTTATGCACTGCAATATGGCGAAACTTTCGAATTTTTTAATCTGTCATCTGTATACTTGTTGCTGCGGATTTTGTTATCCCGTTAATTTCAGCTAATTGTTTCAATTAATATTTTAATGTACACCTTCCTGTTATCAAATGATGTTATATTTTAAATGATATATAATATTATAGAATCGATATTAATTTTGATATATTGATACTTTGATATTTTAAATAAATGTGCTAGAAGACAAACTCATTCGCGACGGATAGACTGTGGCAGGTAAGTGGCGGCTCAAAGCCTAGTTTTTTCATTAGAATAGTCAACTAAATAAAATTGTTTCATTTTTTGATGTATTATTTATTATTGCATTACCAGCTAAATTAATCTTAATAAGTATAGAATGAAAGTTCAAATGTCCCGCCACAAACACTGCTGACATCTGTTGAATAGCAACTTTTGGTTTCTCTATCTCGCGATGGCGCCACTTTTTCCTAAATTCATAACCTTTCTTGATTAACAGAAAATAATAACCTATAAAGATTATTGACAATTTTCTTAAGAGAATGTACTTATATTTGTAAACGCGAATATAATAATTTGCTTTAGAATTAATAAACAAAGTTTAGAATATATAAAAAATATTTTTAATATGCCCAAGTACTATTGTGATTACTGTGATACATATTTAACACACGATTCACCAAGCGTTAGAAAAACCCATTGCCAAGGACGAAAGCACAAAGATAATGTTAAATTTTTTTATCAAAAATGGATGGAGGAACAAGCTCAACACCTAATTGATGCAACGACAGCTGCTTTCAAGGCTGGCAAAATTGCATCTAATCCATTCGCAGCGAACAAAGGTGCTGCTATACCACCACCACCTAGTCTTGGGCCACGACCTGGAATACCACCACAGGGATCACCAGGTATGATGCCACCACCAGGTATGCATCCTGGTAATCCAATGGGTCCTGGTGGTCCTATGATGATGGGCCCACATGGACCAATGCCTTCAATGATGGGTATGAGACCACCGATGATGGGACCCATGGGTCCAATGGGTCCAATGATGGGACCAATGGGTCCTATGGGACCCATGAGACCACCTATGAATGGACCTCCACCACCTATAGGTGGTACTCCACCAATGAAGAAATAAAATATTGAGTGAATGAATTGACTATCTATAAATTGATTGGGATTCAAGACGATATGATAAACATCAATTTAAATATGCACAACATCTGGGTTAAATATAAAATGTATTATAAAAAATCAATATTTCTCTAACGTAAATCTGTACATTATATTTTATGAATTATATGATTAATCAATAAATACATTCAATAATTTGACTGTTTATTTTAAGAGTCTGTTATCACGTAATTTATGTTTAATTTAATGTTAACTTTCTGTTTAAAACTTGTTAATTTTTTAATTTCTTTTAAAAAATGCTAATGCTTTGACCAATTTCTGTAGAAAAAAAAAGAATTTCCTGTACACACCACAGGATTATTATTATACTATAAAACAATGTAGTTAACATAATAAATTCATTCCACATGAAATTTACAAGAAAAAACCTACACAAAATTAAACAATTGACTAATTTTGAAAGTGGTCTAAGATTTGGCATAATTAATGAATATTTTTAAATTTACCAATGTGTAAACCTTTAATGTTCTTGAAACAACAGAAAATAAACTTGCACCACTTTTAAAATAATCGATCCAATTATATATTTGAATTTTTATTTACTCAGATAACAATTATTTATTCGTACACACGTTTTGTAGTAGAGAATATGGTTTATTTCAATTTTATCATTTAAGTTGAAAATAATATAAAGTATCCCTTTTTTCTTTATTAATATTCAAAAAAATATTTTGTTGAAAATTAACATAACACAGTATTCAATGAATATTATTCTTGTGCCAATTGAATAAATTCTTACAACAATGTCAAATATCTATATATTTATTTATTATATATATCTTTAGAAAGATATATAAAGATACATTGTTGAAGAAAATTATTATTTTAAATTATGTTTAAAATACAAAACTAAAATCGTATTTTAATTTGTGTGTTATATAAATGTAAATTTAAACATAATTAAAATATAATTAATTTCGTTAAATTCTGTATAATTGATATGCAAATATCTCTATGCACTTTATACAGTTAAGAAACTCAATTAAAATTAACCTTATCATTTCATTCATTCATAAATGAAATGATATTTCATTTCATGAATAATATTTATATTTCTTTGTTGAAAATTATTCAACTTATTATTAACATGAAATATATTAATATTATTATGCTAATAGCATATTTTTACATTTGATTCGAAGCATTATCAAATCCATTGTACAAATTGTTTACTTCTTGCTTATGTAGAATCTCCATATTTACGATTCTTTGAAGCATACAAATACTCTTTCTTACTGAAAAGTTTTCTTTAATTTTTTCTTTCGAAACGTTTAAAGCTTTTGTAATATGTGATACTTGACACTTTCTGACCATCCTTTCAATCTTATTCACAAATATTTGCCAATGGTTAGGATTATTTGATACGCACTTACTTAATTCTCGCTGAATAATAACGTTCAATTTTTTTAATCTGTTAAGTGTCCCTTTGTCCTTTCTAGTTGTAACATCATGCTTTGCTTTTTCCTTATTCTTTCCTTTTTTTTTATTAGCTTTATTAGCTCTTCTGACTTTATTCTTATTTTTGATGTCTTCTCTTGAAGACTTTGTTTCTATTTGATTCTGTGCATTTTTATTTATCTCTATGCACACTAAGTTATTTTCATCGTTCAATTGATTATTTTCTGGATAATTAACTTCAGTACTTTGACTGATATCATTTGTAAAATTATTTACATTTGATGATGAACAGGTAGCATTAGGAATCTGATCTTTATTAGATATACTAACAGTAATATTAGTATATTTATTATTTTTTTTGTGTTCTTTCTCATTTTCAATATTATTACCCGTACGAAGAATTTGATCCTTATTAGATACACTAACAACGATATTTGTACATTTATCATTATTTTGATAATCGTCAATTTTCGAATTATTCATATTTAATTCACGATTGCCAGAAGTTTCGTTAGCTTCATTTTTATTTGACATATTAACGGTAATATTAGTATATTTATCAGTAGTGTTATCTTTTGGATATAAATCGTACGACGTAGATGGCAAATTATAATCAATTGTATTTCTATCTGAAGCATTATTATCGTTGTAACATATATTTGGAACTACAGTCGGTTCTGGCACGTAATTATTTTCTGAATTTCTGTAATTCTGAGGGATATTATTCCCCTCCATTCTGTTAGTATTTTCAATTGAGTCATTATATATCATGTGACTATATGTTGTTGCTGAATTATCTAAATGTATAAAATCATTCATATTTGTTTTATCATTTGGTTCATCTTGAACAGGATTACAAACTGTTAGATTATTACTATTACATCCTTGACTTGTTTGGTAATCAGGATTATTTGGTAAGATGTTAACAAATGGTTGGTTCATTTGATTGTGCATGTTTAAATCTGACCAAAATGGAATTTTTCTTTCGGAAGAATTAGTCTTAGCATTACCCTTACGTGTATTTCTATTTGCCTTTGGACTTGAATATTTACCATACTTATTTATAAAAGATTTTGGTGGAGTGTGAGGTACAAATACAAAATTATAAGCTGTTAGAATTTGAAGATATGCCTGAAGAGGTACATCCATACCTGTTAAGCGTTTTAAAAATTTTAATAATTCGTAAATTTCTTCAAGAACTGTCTCTAAATCAGGATGATTATTCAATATCGAAAGTAATTTTGTCTGTGTCACTTGTAAACGATTCATCAAATGTTCACATTTATTTTCATTTCTTGTGTTATATAATTCATTTTTCATCAAATTTATGGTATTATATAGTCCAACAGCATCACCCGTTTCTTTTCGTAATTTACTTATTTTTGATTCCAAAAAATTGATCAAATCTATTCGTCGTAATGGTAAATCCATAAACATTACGTAATTCTTTTCATCATCATCAAGACTCAGCCAATATAAAATAAGTCTGCACAAATCATTTATTAAATGAGCAAATGTTCTGACGCGCAAAACTATTTCATTACTTGAATTTATTATTTTATATATTTTCACATGAAACATAAATAGATTTTGCAACTTTTCTACAAAATATGGAACAACTTTACATTCCATTATGTTGTATGTATTGAAACCTTTTCTTGTGGTTATAGTATATTTTATTTCCATTCCGTCATTTTCTATCGTATGAAAATAACCATACTCATATATGATAAAAGCAATATTATTATTTTCTTCCCACATATTTTCTGTAAATGCCTTCTTTTGGCTAATTTTCTTTTTTATTAATTCTTTAGGAAATGGTAAAAGATTGTCCGAGAGATGGACATTAGTAATGATGTCTTTATTAGACTTTTCACTGATTACGTTCATCGTGTTAGTGTTATTTACCTTACTTATGTCATCGGCATAAGTTGGACCATCTGTATAATTTGATACAAACGACGGTGTAGGAAAATGTTGCGACCATCTATAGTCTTTACATGTAGACGAATCATGACCTTGTTTTGTACAGTTACAGCAAAATAGACGATTGGCAGGCTTCATCACGCCAAATGTGTTGAAAGGAATACTTATTTGACCTGTAGTTGTCTGAAATGTCATTATTATTTATTTTAATTTACGATTATTTAAATTATCTTTCATACAAAACTTTGTTATGTACGTAAAAGAGTCATATAACATATAAATACGTTATAGATAAATAACAAATATGATTTAATGTATTACCGTTTGATGATATCTTCTCCAAAGATCTGGACAATCGGTATGCACATGACCTACTGCAGAACACATTTTACAATAAAGCGTTCTGCAGGTTTCGCAAGTTGGTCTGAATGTGTCTTGTTTTCTACCGCACTAAAATCAATGTTTAATATGAATTTTATTGTAAATAACACATTAAAAATACAATCTTAAACAATATTTTTTTACCGTGAGACAAAATCTATGTTTACACCGTGATCCTTTATGACCGTCAAGACCACATATATAACATATAGTTGATTTTTTTACTTCTTTGCAATGAGATCTTAAATGACCACTTTGATGGCAGTAAGTACATCTCAATTTCCATCTTAAATTCTTGGGTTTTAATAACAAATCATCATCTAAAATAGCCCATAGTCGTGGATCTTCTACAATTTATATAATAACAACAACGTTATTAAAGATAAAATAAGCAAAATTTTTTAAATTATTACTTACTGGGCATTTTTTTTTGTATTTCTTTAACATCAAAGTTCTCTTGACCACGAGTATTATCATAAAAATCTTTTAACTTTTTAGACATAGGTTGAAAGAAGGAATTGTTATCAGATTTATTTTTATTCTCTTGCTCCTTATTAGTAGTACTGCTTGTACTTCCTTGATTTTTAGAAAATTTGTCACTACCTTTTTTTCGTTTAACATTGCCAATAATTTCTACATTTTCATTTTCCAATTGTCTTTTATTATTTCGATTTAATATATTCTCCGACATAATAAATTCATCATCAAGCAATATATCTTCCGTAAAATCTATACTTGTATTTGCTAAATTAGTTGTGGTTGTATCATTTTGTATATTTTTTGTAGAACGCGAGGATATAAATGTATTATTTTGTTCTTTAACAAAGTCTTTATCTACATTGCTTTTATTGCTTTTATTACCCAAATGTTGTTCATTGTTCGAATCAACAGTTTTCTTTCCAGACTTATTTTTTTTATTATTAACTTTATTTGAATTTACTTCCTCTGTTAAATCTTGTTTCTTCTGAGCACTTTTTTTCATTTCTCTAATTTCATTAATATTAGAAGCACCTTTAGATACTTCTGTACAATTTAAAACAATGTCCTCTGTCTCGATTGAAATTTCTGAGTCGTTTAAAGATATTAATTGAGATTGCGATTTGGATGATGTTTTTTTCACTTTATCTTTCAAATTACTCGTACATAAATCTGAATGATTAGAAGACGTTTTTTTCTTTCTTTTTTTCTTCATTTTCTTCTTACCAATCGCTACGTTCTCTTCATCAGAATCATTTAAGTTAATAACAGGTGGCTGGGGTTTAGGAGGAACAGGTAATTCTAATATAGATTCATCCGAATCAGAATCAATCTCAGCTTTTCTCTTTTTTTGGCAATACTCAGCATTTTGTAACTTCATTTTTTCTGTTTTATCAAGGGTATCGTATTTGCTTTCCATTTCTTTACTTTCCTTATGTTCCTTAGGTTTTTCTTTCGTTTCTTTCTCCTTCGTTTCCGCTGGGACGTAATAGATGTTTGCATATAATCTTGATTCCAATTCACTGTCGTTGTCTTCCTCACTGAAATTATAACCTAAGAAAACGTATTTTGTTTATAAATATGAAATGAGATAAAGGAAAAAAGAATTACATAAAATATACTTAGTGACAAAGAATGAAAATATATTTTAAGGTTATATTATTGAAAATAAATCTGACTTACAACTAGACAAATTATCCTCCATGTTATTTAAATTTTACAAAAGATTTATTATAAACAAATGTCCAAAAGTCCTTATTGTTCATTTCCTCATAAGATGCACAGAAAAGTGGGATGATAAACTCGAATAAAATACAATAATCATAAAAAACGCATGCTAAAAAGAACGTGTTACTTTTCGAATGTAAATATCCCTAGAAAACTTAAAAGCTAGAAAACAAAAAAAAACCAAACGTTTTCTTTGTTTTATGAAATAAAAAAAATATGTTTACTGTTTTTTTTTTTTTTTTCCTTGCTATGATATAAATAATAACATTAATTTGAATTTCATATTTATATAAATATAATTAATAGAGATTCTTATAAATAATGTTCATGAGAATGATCTAAATTGATACGACATTAGACTTGTTTTCATGAAAATAGAAAAATTCATCAAAATTTTCATTTCTTTTTATTATATTTAATAATTGTATTTTAATTATTGTTTAACAAAACATTAATGACATTTAACAGAAAGATAATAATTATGTTATTTAATATAGTCAATTTAGTGACCAACGACAAATATAAAATAACTATCATATTCCCAAATTTTCTACCTTGAAAGAATAAATAGTAAGAAAAATGGCTCTTGCACATTTGTATGTTTCTATATTTTACAATAACGAAATATTGAGTAAATTTATCCTTTAATAATTATATAATGTTTATATTTAAATTTAAAATATATATATTAACAATTTTACAAATAGAAATTTATTAAAAGAAACATTTTGTTGATATCTTAGCAGAAATTCAAAGTAAGATTTATTTTATTAATTTTAATTTGTTCGACGGTTTACGTAAATGACATTTAAAAATAGTTTATAATTAATTCATTCTATTAAAATACAATGTATATATGTATATATACATCAATAATATATATACATATATATGTATATTGTTCATGTGATAAAAATCGCAATATTGTTCATTTCAATCAAATTATTACAAATTTTTCCCATTCATTTTAATATATGATTAATCTTTGTTTTTATTATTACCTTACTACCGAAAAAAAAAAACAATAAATATATAAAAATCCAAATTTATTATGATTTAATATGATATTTCAGTATCTCTAATATGGCTGTATACAACTTCATTTTACCAGGACGGACAATAGCAGTGAATGGTGAGCAATTTTAATCTTAATACTTTCAAAAGAATAAAATTAAATACCATATGATTTATATATAATTATTTACAAAAATTAATACCTTTTATACTTAAATATATCATTAATGATGATTAATTATTCATCAATCATTGAAAAGTTGTATCATCAATTTAACGTTGTTACAATTTATATTATGTTTTAGTAATGATTTTAAGTAAAAAATGTTAATTAATTTGCATTGAATTATCTTTTTTGTCATTACTTTATTATCTTTGTAGAATATTTTTTCTTAATGGTTTTATTTTAACATCAAGAAAAAGAGTAGGAGGAAGTAAAAGAGACAGAATAAGAAGAAGTGAGAGAGAAAAACATATATACATATATATATATATATATATATATATATATGTATTTATATCTTATACTATCTCGCAAATTTCATCTGGAACCGTTATACGTGTCTCTTAGACGTTTAATTTAACCGAATTTATTTTATTTTATTTTTTTTAATTGAAACAAAATAATAATAATAATAATCAATAAAAATAATTTAATCTATGCAAATTTGTATTTATATGTGTATGTGTATACGACAAATTGAAACGTCAAGTGTTATTATTGTATCAAGTAACCTAAAAAAATGTCGAACATCGAGGACGGAGCTATTGAAACATTTATGACTGCTTTAAAAAAATCTTTGTCAAAAAATGATGCAGATGATGTTTTGCGTTTATTTGAACTTTACAGTAATATTATTGAAGATATCGCTTGGGATGTTATACCCATTTTATCCGATTATTTAACCACTGAAGTTGCTATTAATCAAAAGGAATTGTTTCAAAGTTGCGTATTTATACTTGATGAAACAGCAGAAAAATGTAATCCACGTGATAGTATATTGCTATTTTTAGAACAAATTGAATACTTAGAAGATGATATGAAATTTTTAACACTGTTGAAACCAATTAGAATTTGTTTCAATAAAATAAATGATAAGTCTAAAGTCATTGAATGGTGCGTTAGTACAATACAAGCATATATAAAAGATTTACCTATACCAATTTACAACAATTCAGAAATAAATGATAATTATAGTAACGAGGAACAAGACTTGATTCAGAATAGAATTATCAACATATATATCCATGTCGTTTCGTTTATACAATCAATAGTCAAAGAATGGAATCCAAATGAAATGACTCATCAAAATATTATATTTGAAAATTACATTACAGCTTTCTTAATTTCTTTATTAGGAAGTCCGTTTTGTTATTTATGTGAAGAGCCAAAATGGGGAAATCAAGTAGAATTTATACGTAATGAAATAATAATGCTTATATTTAAATTTAATAAAGATCCAATGTATTTTTTACATTTCATGAAAGATCGCATAGTACAAAATATAGAAACATTACTTAAAAATGATTCGGAGGAAGTAAAACCAAGTGTAAATAGACAAGTAGAAAAATTTAAAGTCTTGGAATCGGAAGAAATTGTACCAACTTTTGCGTACGCTAATTTTTATTTCTATCTCCTAATAGAAGAAAAATTCTGGGTAAAACTTCCACAAGTTTATCATCCGTATTATATCTTTGAATCTGGCATATTTCTTGTTGGTTACCTAGTTGATAGACATCATATTAAGTTAATAAAAAAAGCTTTTATATTTATAGAAGTTCTTTTGAAACGTTTAAAAAAAATGTCTGTCGGTCCAAATGCATTAGAATTAGAAATTTATACCCATTTATTGGAAAAAATTGTTAAAGTAATGGTATATTGTGAAAGCTACGAGGAAAGGAAAAGAGCATCATCAATTTTTGAAAAATATATTTTGTATGCATTTAATATGGAAGCAAGATATTCCATCATTTTACATTTGTATTATAGATCACATCATTCTGGCGTTCTTGGCTTGGTAACTGGTTTAGTTAAAACATCTATCATTGAAAGTTTACAAACAACGCCTAGATGTACATATTTCTTTGGAAACAATTTAGAATCTTTATTGAAACATGCTTGTAACTTGGCTCATGGTAGTGCAACTGATTTGATAGAGATATCAGATGAAATAATAGCTGGATTAAATCTTTTAAGATTTTTAATTATCAGAGATCGATCCAATGAAACTGGTATTTGGGATATGATAAATACGCTTGAAAAGAATTTCTTGAAACCTTTAAGACAAGGGATAGATCTAAGCAAAGCGCATTGGAGAACTAAAATAAAAGATTTAGAAGAAGTCAAAAATAATAAATTTCATATTTCAAATGAAATAGAAGGAACTAATGTGATATTAACTGTTGGTAACCAAAACTTACCGGCAATGCCAGTTGAACAAAAATTACAAATATCACATCAAATTTTATGCGGTCTTGATGTAATGGAAAGCCTTTTAATTAGAATTGATGAGTGTATTGCGATCAATCCTAGAAATAGTATCTCATAAGCTATAATAATTTATATATGTATGTGTTATTATATAAGAATATAAAATAATGTTAACATTTAATTGTGTCTTCCATTGCTTTCATTGTGTATGATATATAAAAATGTATAATTCAATGTAAACAGTAAAATGTACCATTTTGATATAGGATTTAGAAGTCTCTTGAATTCAAGAGTTTTATCAAGATATCGGTCCAATAATACTACAGATCATCAGAAAGAAGAACAAAATGAGTCATCGAATAAGGAAACTGAAGAAGAATATGAGAAGAAAACGAAGACAAAAATCCTTACAGCATCCATGAACTTTGTACCAGAATTAGGATGGAGCAGGCAAGCTATCAGTGCTGGTAATTATTAATATTTCATATTATTTAAATATTAATGTTTTTAAGTTAAATGATCCAATATGTAATTAAAAGCTGAACATCAAATCTATCAAAGGTGCTGAATCAATTGGTTATCCTGGCATAATTCATGGAATGTTTCCAAATGGCGGTGCTGAATTAGTTGCACATTTCTATTCCACCTGCAATAGTGAATTGAATAATATTCTGAAAGAAAAATATGGAACGATTCAAACAGGTCCTGTTATAAAACTAGAGGATAGATCAGAACCAATCTACTTTGCGGTAGAAACCAGGCTTAGAATGATAATTCCTTATAAAAAAAATTGGCCACAAGCAATAGCACTTATGACACTTCCACCAAATGTTCCAACAGCATTAGCAAATTTAGTTACATTGGTCGATGATATTTGTTATTACGCTGGTGATAGATCCGTTGATGTAGGTTTATATATTAATATGCGATCAAGTAATTAATTAAAATGATATTATTAATTCTTTTTTTTTTTTTATTCTTAGATCAATTGGTATACTAAAAGAGTAGTATTAGCAGGTATTTATAAATCAACAGAATTGTACATGCTTCAAGATAACAGCGAAGATCATAAACAAACGTGGAGTTTTTTGAAAAGACGAATGGAAGATGCTAGTCAATTACAGAGAATAATATCCGCAACATCGGATTTACAGCACCCGGAACAAACTTTGAAACAAGCAAAAGAAATAGCTAACGCTACTATAATTACTGTAAGTTATTTTCTTCTATAAGATTGTATAATCTTAATATTGAATTATCGAAAAGAGAAACCAAAGATTATCATTTAATCTTTTAGGCACGCAATATACTTGGACTGAATTGGCACAGATAAAGTATAGGAATAAATTCAAAATGCTGTCTAGTATTTGTAGATAAATGTAATTATAATATTTGTTAAAAGTATTACCGGAAGCTTGTAATATATAAATGAATTACTTTACACCTACACAAAATCTTATTATTATATCATCGCTTCTTTTAGGTTGTAAACAATTTTTGTACAGTTTTATAAATACATTTTATGAAAAACTGCTGTATAACAGGTTGTTCAAAATTTGCACTCTGATTATCATTTGAAGATTTTATCTCTGTAGCATTTAAATTAATTAATCTATATGTATGCTGATATTTAAAAAACAAATAAATGAAGTTAAAAAACAAGGTTATGTAATAATTATAAAAAACAAAAAGAGAGTGAAAATATTGTATGTGTTATATATAATATATATTTTAAAATTTTATTATGTAAATAATAATATTACTAATCAACCTGTTTATATTTAATTAATAATTGAACTTTTGATATGCTAGGAACATTATAGAGGAGGTTAGTGCATGTGCAGTGATGACAGGACGTGTTATTTTGTCCCACGTGGGAGCCTTCATGCGCATGCGCATGCGACATCACAGCTCGACGACGGTCGTTTCCATGGACGTATCTATGTGCAAGAGTAAGTACGCATAAAGGGCTCTTCTCAGTCGTTTCTCGCATTTTTCGTTAAAGTGAAGGTGAGTCGTGTAATGTTATATAATATATTGAATTGTAGTGTAAATATGTTATTTCTTTTAAAAATGTCTTCTTCCTGTAATTTCTACCACATTTCAATTGTCACTAGGGTCTAACGATACCCCATATATGAGTGAAGTATATACGTTACTGAATGTTAGTTAGTGCGCATGCGTGAGAAAAATCCCACGTCTTGGCATCACTGTAACAGTTGGCTACTCTGTTGCGAATGGCAGTCGATTTACTATTACGTTCTTATAATTGAGTTTAGTGACGTCTCTTTGTGGAAAGTGCATTTCAACTTGAAATTAATGATCAGCTATTTATTAAAGTAAATAGTTAAATACGATTTTTAAGAGAATGGCTGACAACGAGCAAAAAGCTAAGCAGTTATTAGCCGAAGCTGAGAAGAAATTAGCATCGAAAGGTTTTTTCAGTTCTTTTTTCGGGTATGTTAACACATTGATTTACTTGAACTCGTCCAACTAGAAGAATATAAATCCGACTTTTTATTATTTAATGCATATTATCGTATCGTTTATGTAGAACAATTCATTTTATTTATACTATTTTATTCTATATTATTTTATTCTTATTGTCTTAACGTTTCCTTATATCTTTTACTGAATCATTTTCTATCCTGTCTGAGGTACGCATGTCGCTTCGTATATTACTGTGTATATATATATATATATATGTGCACACTAATATGTCAATTTTCTTTACAGTAATGTAATGTTGAAATAAAAATGAACAAAGCCATGAATCACATGATACGAGAATTAATTATGACTAATATATTAAACAATGTTAATTATTATTTTTTTTTAATTTGGTAGTTTTATTACCATTTTTCTTTCATTATCATTAGTTGTATTTATTTACTATTCATGATGTTTTATAGTTCGTCGAGTATGTAACCACCTTATTTGTATAAAAGTATAAAATGTTTATTTATATTAACACTTGATGTATTATACAGGGGATCAACTAAATTGGAAGAAGCGGTAGAATGTTATCAACGTGCTGCAAATATGTTCAAAATGGCCAAAAAGTGGAGCGCTGCTGGAAGTGCATTTTACGATGCTGCAGACTTACATGCTAAAGCTGGCAGTCGTCATGATGCAGCTAATTGTTATGTTGATGCATCTAATTGCTTTAAAAAATCAGACGTTAATGGTAAAGCTATAACAATAGCATCTATATATAATTATTATTTTGTCATCGTATTAGATTAGAAAATAAATGTAAATCAAGCATCAATGTAGAAGTAAGAATATGTATATATATATTTGTTTTTAGAGGCCATCAGTTGCTTGCTCAAATCTATTGAAATTTATACCGATATGGGAAGATTTACGATGGCAGCTAAACATCATCAAAGTATAGCAGAAATGTATGAGAGCGAGGCTGTTGATTTAGAACGTGCTGTTCATCATTACGAACAAGCAGCGGATTACTTTCGTGGCGAGGAAAGCAATTCTTCTGCTAATAAATGTTTGTTGAAAGTTGCACAATACGCGGCTCAGCTAGAAAATTATGAAAAAGCAATTCAAATATATGAACAGGTATAAAAATTGTAAAATAATGTAGTAGTATTATAAGATAAGTCATGAAAAAAAATTGTCAAATATAGGATTTGGATATAAAACAAAAAAAATGTTCACAGGTTGCTTCTGCATCTTTAGAAAGTTCATTACTAAAGTACAGTGCAAAGGAATACTTCTTCCGAGCTGCATTATGTCATTTGTGCGTTGATGTATTAAATGCACAACATGCGATTGAACGCTATCAAGAGCAATATCCAGCATTCCAAGACTCTAGGGAGTATAAATTAATTAAGGTATTAAACTTTATAATATTATATATAATTCTTTTTTTATTTTTTTTGTTTAACATTTATACTAAACAAAGATTTTTCTTGTATTATTCTTCTATTATCATAGACATTGATAGAACACCTCGAGGAGCAAAATTTAGAAGGGTTTACAGAAGCTGTGAAAGAATATGATTCAATTTCACGGTTGGATCAGTGGTACACTACAATATTATTACGCATAAAGAAGCAAGTCAATGATAACCCTGATTTACGCTGATCAGTTATTGTTCATTTACATTATATTATGTCAATGATATTAATGCTCCAAATCTATATGTATTCTTTCCTAAACTATATCCTGCTTTCGGTGGTATTCATCAAGTAGGTTCGTTTTTATACCCGAATATCATATTATTCCCTTGCGATTCTAGCTAACATAATAAGTTTGCTGTATAATCCAATACTTAAAGAAAAAAAAAAAAAAGAAAAAAGATAAAAAAAAATTCCCAAAAATGCATCAATATAGAATCACAGAAATTTAGAATGCTTTAAATTCTATATCAAACTTTACAGGCTATTTTCCATATTCATATATAATACATACAGTTATAGCATCGCCTTATATGTAGGCATAGTATAATGTTATAAGTATTGATAAAAAAAAAAAAAAAAAAAAAAAAACATTAATAAGAAAATTTGGTAAAATACAGCTTCTTTGAAGTAAGATATTCACACACTTGTGCTAATATAGTTAAATAGTTGGCACTTGTTTCCAGCATGAAACTTTTTGTCCAAATAGTACAAACCCCTTACATATTCGAACTTTTCGTAAATTTATTATCATATATGTTTCATTTTAATATTCGCAAATTAGAGAAATGAAGTATCTCATTGTTAACGAGTTTTAGAATATATACTCGGTCGCGGTTATATTTTTTTAACTAGACAGAGTGTTATCATTTAATAATATTATTTATTACATATTAGCACTTAAATATATATATATATATATATATTAAAACATATTAAATATATGTCTTGTAATATAATTTATATATTTTTTCTTTGTGTATATCGCGTAGAGTGGAATGGTGAATGAAGTTAAATTTTGGTCAGTCGTTATCCTTACACTGCCAGTGTTTTAAAATAGGAGACACGATATGTTATGTTAATATTCATTGTTCCACCATTTGTGTACATTTTGTTAACATAATTATCTTTTTTATTATTTAATAATTATAATTAATTATGTTAATTGAACCTTTTTTGTAAAATGTAACTCCATTGTTATCAATATTAATAATGAGAAAAATTAAGGATAGAAGTAAACGCGTTAGCTAACTGACAAACGAACGAAATATCTCTCATTTAGAAATTAATTCAATATATTTTAATCGATAAGTACATGATATTCATTTTTTGTTTATCTATTTCTTTTATTATTTTATAGTAAATATACGAAACGATATCATATTTTTATTCGAATTTTTAAGACCCTAGAATTCTTATATGTAAAAGAAACAAAATCATAAACCGATATAAATAATAACTTTATTCTCATTTAAAGTAAATACAAAAATAAATAAAAGAAAAGTAAGATGTTTGTATAAAAAATAATGTATCGTTACAGTGCAGGATATGATGCAATATTACACAGTAGGTAATTCAATGAATTGTGCGTAAATTAAGATGGAGATTTGTATGCTTTTTAAATGACAATTGATATACTTTAAAATATATCAACATGGATAATTAAAAAACTATGACTACGTTTTGTATATGCAGGCCAGGTAATAATTTCACATAATTTTAAGGACTGGAAAGTGCAGTTTTTTAGTATGTACGAACTTGGCCTAAAAATGGAGGTAAAAAACCTTTTCGTGAAAATTTCAAAGAAAGCAATACTTTTTAAATCGTCAGGAGTATAAAGATGTTTAATTTTATTGTTTTTTATCCTTCAATTAGATTAATTAAATATTAATTTATGGGTCATTTATGTGTACAAAATAGAATACATCGTTCTAGTAATTTCGAGGGTGTAAAAATTAAAAAAAGAAAAAAAAATATAAATATATATACATACGCACATATGTATATGTATAAAAGTGATAAATCTCCACATATATTAATAAATCAACATTACGAATAAATTTGTAGAATTTATTCATACCTTTTAAATTCCTTGATCTTTTTTATTTAATTTCCTGTATGTTTGTCAATATTCCTAGCTTTATGCAAAAATTACAATTTATATATCATATTGAATAATTGTTGAATATTTTGATAATATAATGGAGAGGAAAAGTATATAAAAAAAAAATGATTAATAAATTGAAACAATGAAAATAGTATAAGAATACAATAATAAATAATTAATTGTTTCTAGAAATTTCTATTAGAGAAAAATAGAACGTGCTCGAATGTTCGATCAATCTAACGTTGTTTATAGATGTAGTATTTACTAACATTGCGCAATACTGTATAATTCAGTTATTAATAATTGAACATTATTGTAAATATAGTTAAGATTTTGAATATAATTCTAATTTGTACAAATTTGATCGTTAGCTTATATGTATATATATATATATATATATATATATTTTCTTCTAATCTATAATAACATTTCGAAACATCTCGAAACTACGCTTGTTGATTATGACTGTGCGACTATATTTAAAAATATCCCAAGTTATTACTGACAAACCAGAAAATTCTTGTAGAATTCGAACAAATTTACTTGTATTTTCAACAAAATATTAAAAAGAAAGTAAATGAAGTAAATAAAAGCATAGAATTAAGCTTAGAAACATTATCATTTAAAAATATTCTAGACGGTTCGAGAGAATTTAATGCGACGTACAGGTATCGATTCACGAATAGGCTCGAGAAGTTTCTGGTTCAGTCGAGAGAGTAGGGATGGAATATAAATACTTGCGGCTGCGACTAGTCGAGCCAGTCACAATTCAAAAGCGAAACGAGAAAGTACTCAGAGAGTAAAAGGAAGCGCTCTAAAGCTATTTAAACCAAAGTCTATCGAAGAAAGTTTAATTGAATTCAACAACAACAGTGAATTTGACAAGTAAACTAGAAGAAGAGAATATCATCAGAATAACATCCAAGATGCCTGCAATTGGTATTGATTTGGGAACAACTTACTCCTGTGTAGGAGTTTGGCAACAAGGAAAGGTCGAAATCATTGCTAACGACCAAGGTAACAGAACAACACCAAGTTACGTTGCATTTACAGAAACTGAACGTTTGATCGGCGATGCTGCAAAGAACCAAGTTGCAATGAATCCGGCCAATACCGTTTTCGATGCAAAACGGTTGATTGGCCGTAAATACGACGATCCAAAGATCCAAAACGATATTAAACATTGGCCGTTCAAAGTGGTGAACGATGGAGGAAAGCCTAAAATCCAAGTTGAATATCGTGGTGAGAACAAGAGGTTCAATCCAGAAGAAATCAGTTCTATGGTATTGATAAAGATGAAAGAAACTGCAGAAGCTTACCTTGGACAAACTGTACGAGATGCTGTCATCACGGTACCAGCTTATTTCAACGATTCACAGCGTCAAGCAACCAAAGACGCTGGTGCTATAGCTGGTTTAAATGTACTCAGAATTATAAACGAACCTACAGCCGCTGCACTTGCTTATGGCTTGGATAAGAATCTCAAAGGAGAGAGAAACGTATTGATCTTTGATCTGGGAGGTGGTACCTTTGATGTTTCTATTTTAACCATTGACGAGGGTTCGCTCTTTGAGGTAAAATCCACAGCGGGTGATACACATTTGGGTGGTGAAGATTTTGACTCAAGATTGGTTGATCATTTCTGCAAAGAATTTGAAAGGAAATATAAAAAGAACATGAAAAATAATCCCAGATCATTGCGAAGACTTCGAACGGCTGCTGAACGGGCTAAGAGAACTCTATCTTCGAGTACGGAAGCAACAATAGAGATCGATGCTCTTTACGAGGGTATCGATTTCTATACGAAAATCTCTCGTGCTCGATTCGAAGAACTTTGCTCCGATCTCTTCAGATCTACCTTGGAACCCGTAGAAAAGGCACTCGCCGATGCGAAATTCGATAAACGATCGATACACGACGTTGTTCTGGTTGGTGGTTCAACACGTATTCCGAAGATCCAAAATATGTTACAGAATTTCTTCTGTGGCAAACAATTGAATCTTTCCATCAATCCTGACGAAGCAGTAGCTTATGGAGCTGCAGTACAGGCTGCTATACTTACTGGAGAAGGTTCCAACAGTTCCACCCTACAGGATGTACTTTTGGTCGACGTTGCTCCGTTGTCTCTTGGTATTGAAACTGCTGGTGGTGTCATGACTAACATCATTGAACGTAACGCTCGTATACCATGCAAACAGACGCAAACATTCACCACTTACTCCGATAATCAACCAGGAGTATCGATTCAAGTTTATGAGGGTGAACGAGCTATGACCAAGGATAACAATTTACTTGGCAGATTCGAATTGAGTGGTATTGCACCTGCACCACGTGGTATACCCAAGATCGAAGTTACCTTCGATATGGACGCCAATGGAATACTTCACGTTACTGCCAAGGATACTGCCAGTGGCCGTAGTAATAACATCAAAATAACCAACGACAAGGGCCGCTTGAGTAGAGAGGAAATTGACAGAATGTTGGCAGAAGCAGAACGTTACAAAGAACAAGACAAGGAACAGAGAGAAAAGGTTTCTGTAAGAAATCAATTAGAGAGTTATGTCTTCTCAGTTAAACAAGCGGTCGAGGACAGCGGATCCAAATTGACCGATTCTGACAAAAATCAAGTGAAAAATATATGCGACGATACTCTTCGTTGGTTGGATAATAATACCCTTGCTGAAACCGAAGAATATAAGCACAAATTGGAGGAAGTGCAGAAGCAATGCTCACCAATCATGATGAAAATTCATCAGGGCGGAGCAGGTGGACCCCAACAGGATTGCGGTGGCCAATACAGACAACAAAACTACAATAACTCTGGACCTACCGTAGAAGAAGTAGATTAAGTTCAATAGGACATACGAATTATTTCATATTTTTAAACAAATGTAACTATGTTTCATTTTTTTTTTATTTCTGTACCTGATCGATATACGTTTCTTTTAATACTGTTTTATAACTTGACTGTTCTGTAATATTTTGTTAAGTTTCTATTACGTATGTGCATAACAAAATAGTATTTAATTTAATTTATTAATTTACCTATTAAGAAAAAGGAGAGTATTAAGAAAGACTTTCAAACGAGAGATTTACTTATATCATGTATATCCTATGATTTTTATAATAAATCATCTAATTTTATTTATTTAAATATTGCGTGTTATCGTTAAGAAAAATCTACACAAAAAATCCTCTCTTTCTTCCTAATAAATATTTTCATCAAGAAACGATGGCACCGTCTCCTTAAAGTTATCACAAATTAGGAAAACAAATAGCAAATACATACGAATAAACCAGTTCTCATTCACTTTTATCATATAAAAATTAATTTACTTTGCATTAATTTTTTATCATATAATTTAAATATATCCTGGAGGACATCTGTAATTTATTACCGACAGGTACAAACTGTAACGTCATCTAGCAATAGGAGCTGTTACTTTATTTTACCGACAGGTAAAATATGTATCGCCATCTAACAGTAGTAACTGTTACTTCATTTACCGACAGGTAAATATATGTGTCGCCATCTAGCAGTAGTAACTGTTACTTCATTTACCGACAGGTAAATAT